TCTGTGCCCAATCACTTCCTTTTGACACAAGAAGATAGATGCCATACTACTTTTTCCTTATCCCTTCAGGGATACTCAATTTGATCATTTACATAATCAAACAAAATAAGTGCCCATCGCACACCATGCTAACCATTAAACAGGAGACAGGAGCTACACAAATTCAAGTTAAACTTCTTGATTTGGGCTGGGCGCGGTGGCTCAAGCCTGTAATCCCAGCACTTTGGGAGGCCGAGGCGGGTGGATCACGAGGTCAAGAGATCGAGACCATCCTGGTCAACATGGTGAAACCCCGTCTCTACTAAAAATACAAAAAATTAGCTGGGCATGGTGGCGCGTGCCTGTAGTCCCAGCTACTCAGGAGGCTGAGGCAGGAGAATTGCTTGAACCCAGGAGGCGGAGGTTGCGGTGAGCCGAGATCGTGCCATTGCACTCCAGCCTGGGTAACAAGAGCGACACTCTGTCTCAAAAAAAAAAAAAAAAATACATAAACTTCTTGATTTGGGTACTTTCCCACCAACAGCACCATAGCAATATCTATTATAAATCTAAGAAACTGACTTCAGTGTGGTACTTATAAATGCAGAGAATGCAAACTTAATTACAAATAAAGCACTTAAAACAAAATACCGTACAAGTCAATTCTTTCCACTATCAACATGAAAAGAGAATTCCAGAATGTTTTGAGATGAAAACATACCTCTTTTTTCAATGATATTACTTAGAAACACTACTTTATCTTAATTGACACTATTCTGTATTTGTATTTAAACTTTCTTTTTTTCTTTCTGAGATGGAGTTTCACTCTTGTTGCCCAGGCTAGAGTGCAATGTCACAATCTCGACTCACCACAATCTCCACCTCCCAGGTTCAAGCGATTCTCCTGCCTCAGCCTCCTGAATACCTAAGATTACAAGCATGCGTCACCACACCAGCTAATTTTTTGTATTTTTAGTAGAGACGGGGTTTCTCCATGTTGGTTAGGCTGGTCTCGAACTCCTGACCTGAGGTGACCCGCCTGTCTTGACCTCCCAAAGTGCCAGGACTGTAGGCATGAACCACTGCGCCCAGCCGTATTTCTAGTGTTTTAGTTTCAGCCTTTTGGGTATCTTACTCCCAGAGTAACATATACATGATAGAGGATAAAATTTGAAACTAGGTAATCTGTGAACAATACAGGCAACCCTTAAAGCCATTGCTTAACTGTGAGAGTTAGCGGCGTATGAAAACAACCACTGCAGAACATCTCTCCATAAAAATAATCAAATGAAGGCCGGGTGCAGTGACTCACACCTGTAATCCCAGTACTCTGGAAGCCTGAGGTGGGCGGATCACCTGAGGTCAGGAGTTCGCGACCAGCCTCACCAACATAGAGAAACCCTGTCTGTGCTAAAAATACAAAATTAGCTGGGCATGATGGTGCATGCCTGCAATCCCAGCTATCTGGGAAGCTGAGGCAGGAGAATCGCTTGAATCTGGGAGGTGAAGGTTGTGGTGAGCCAAGATCGCGCCCTTGCATTCCAGCCTGGGCAACAAGAGCAAAACTTGGTCTCAAAAAAACAAAACAAAAAACAAAAAATATCAAATGAGATGTCACACGATGGCATTTTTGAAGTGTTATGCAAATGAAAGGCCTATGCATGAGCGTATATATGTTATTTCCAATTTTAAACATTTTTTTTTTTTGAGACGTAGTCTTGCTCTGTGCCTAGGCCGGAGTGCAACGGTGCAATCTCTGCCCACTGTAACTTACACCTCTCAGGTTCAAGCGATTCTCCTGCTTCAGCCTCCTGAGTTGCTAGGATTACAGATGCGAGCCACGACGCCCAGCTTATTTTTGTATTTTTAGTACAGACAGGGCTTCACCATGTTGGTCAGGCTGGTCTTGAACTCCTGATCTCATGATCTGCCTATCTTGGCCTCTCAAAGTGCTAGGATTATAGGCATGAGCCACCGTACCTGGCCATTATGTTTTTTTTTTTTTTTTTGAGACGGAGTCTTGCTCTGTCGCCTAGGTTGGAGTGCAGTGGCGCAATCTTGGCTCACTGCAAACTCCAAATCCCAGGTTCAAGTGATTCTCCTGCCTCAGCCTCCTGAGTAGCTGAGACTACAGCCACCCGCCACCATACCCGGCTAATTTTTGCATTTTTAGTAGAGATGGGGTTTCACCACATTGGCCAGGCTGGCCTCAGAACTCCTGACCTCAGGTAATCTGCCAGCCTCGGCCTCAGCCTCCTGGGATTACAGGCATGAGCCATGGCACCCAGCCTTTAAGAATTCTTTTTAAGAAACAAAAACAAGGAATTAAGTGTACTGGCTCAATGTAACAAGTTTCTACGAATTTAAACTATCCTCATTCTATAGTCAGTTCTGACACCTACCTTAGTTCCTGAAGGTCAATGGGTCACAGAGGAAACTGGTATTGCTGCAAAGAATTTTTTGGTCTCATTTAACAGTAAAAGAGGTATATGAAGTAGTTTTATGTATCTTCACAGAGAATACACAAGATTCACTTCCCACATCAGGGAATACTGGTTACTTCATAAAGGCGATGTGATTGGAAAAGAGGAGAGGGGAAACAAATCTGATAAACCCCAGATTCCTCAAGAGCAGACTGAAAGATGTGACTTGTGCTCAGATGCCAGTACCAGCTGAAAAGATTTACTAAAGTGAATTAAAGCAGATGAGGGTTTTCAAATACAAAAAGTAGACGCCTGTAATCCCATCTTGTCAGGAGGCTGAGGCAGGAGAATCCCTTGAACCCAGGAGGGAGAAGTTGCAGTGAGCCGAGATCGAGCCACTGCACTCCAGCCTGGGCGACAGAGCGAGACTGTCTAAAAAAAATTAAGAAAGAAGATGAGGGTTTTCAAGGGGGTAGAGTAAATATGGAAGAACAAGAGAATGGGACGTCACTAAGTCCCCTGTAATCAGTCTGAATTTCACTCAACTTGGTAAAACGAAGGGCATGAATTGTTGTCATGTCTTCCGCCTCTAAAGGTTCCACAAAAGTTAAGAAAACTCAGATTTTCTTCACTAAATTACGATACTAAACTGTTAAAGTGGCAAATCCAGACCAAGTAAGTACTTTATGCAATGGTTAGTCTAAACTATATTTAGTACTTTACTTGCTCACTGGAGAAAAAATATGAACTTCTGTAAACTTCAGATGCTTTTGGGCAGCGTCCTAAACTGAAGATGACACCTTGGTACTTCTAAGTTGCTAAGAAGTCTCAAAGGTTTTAGCCGGGCGCGGTGGCTCATGCCTGTAATCCCAGCACTTTGGGAGGCTGAGGTGGGTGGATCACTAGGTCAAGAGATCAAGACCATCCTGGTCAACAAAGTGAAACCCTGTCTCCATTAAAAATACAAAAAATTAGCTGGGCATGGTGGTGCGTGCCTGTAATCCCAGCTACTCAGGAAACTGAGGTAGGAGAATTGCCTGAACCCAGGAGGCGGAGGTTGCGGTGAGCCAAGATCGCGCCATTGCACTCCAGCCTGGGTAACAAGAGCGAAACTCTGTCTCAAAAAAAAAAAAAAAAAAAAAAAAAGAAGTCTCAAAGGTTTTGACCTTGCTCTGCCAGCTGCCAGCAGTGTGGCCTTAAATAATGATCCTCAGCTGGGAACCACCAGCATCTCTCTACATTACCTCAAGATCAAAGGAGACATGCACAAAAGTGCTCGGTCAACTATCAAGTGTTACACCAATGAAAGACGTTCAAATGCACCTCAATTTTCTCAACGTTTTCCAAAGCCAGCCATAACCCTTATCTCCTTTGCAATAGAGAAAATGAATTACTGGGTAAGAAATGAGCACCCAAAGATAGTTTCAAATAATGTTTTGAAGAATGCAAGGTCATGCCAGAGAAAACAAACTATATTCCCCAAACTAAAATCAATGTTACAAGATGTTAAGTCATCAATGCTCTTATAAGCCCATTAGAAATGGAACTAGACTTGCATGGCACTGATACTCCCCTCCAAAGATGTCTAAAGAAGTAAGCAACTCCAGCCACCAGTAAGCATTATTTTAAAAGTATCTGCTAGTAGTTGTACAGTTATCTTAAAAAAAAAAAAAAAAAAAAAAAAAGGCTGAAATTTACCACTGGAGCTATCCAAATTCAACCAATATGGAAGCGCCAGAAGAAAACCTCATCTTGGCATATAGCTGCGCTTACTAAAAATGCGTCCAACTAAGTAAAAGAAAAAAACCTAGAAGGAAATCTAGGTGGAGACCCGTGCTTCTCCAACACGTGGGCGCACCACACTGGGTTCCCCACCCCCACCTAACTCCAACAGCACCAACCTCCAAGCCTAACAGACGTACCCTCGGAAAAGTACAGGCACGGGGCCACACCCTAGAAAGGGAAGAGCACAACCTAAAACGACATTAAGAGCGCAACACAAGGGCGTAAAAGCTTCCTATCGGGGTTTTAGCGCACGCATAGAAGGCGCGCCCGTCTCCACTACCCTCGTGTCTCCTACCGCGCACGCGCACCGCTGCCTTCCCCCGCCCCTCCACCGACTCGCGCTCGCGTTCTAACTGCTGCCCCCCCTTTTCCCCTGCCCCCGACTCCGGTCCGCTACGCCTCGCGCATCGTAGACGTAGTCTTATGTGCACTCGTCCGCGCACCAACCGCCTCCTTCCTTCCTCCACGCCTTCACGCGAGCACGGTGCTTCACGTCTATGAAAACGCCTCGCACCACCCGCACACCTTTCTGCGCCTCCTTCTTCAATTCAAGCCTGAGTCCACCATTACTGCCTATTCCAGTCTCGCGCAGAAAGAGTGAAAAGAGGGTAAGGGGGAGGGGAAGGTGTCCTTCCCCTCCCCCCCAAACATCCCGAGGCAGCAACCTAACATGGCCACGCCGCCAGCATGCCGCAGCCCTCAAGTCGGGAAGGAACCGGTGCCGGCAGGTCCCCGACTCCAGGAAATCAGTGGATCAGGCTCGGAGGAGGGTTTCAGAGCCCAGTCTTTGGCCGCGCTCGGCTGCTCGCTCACCTGAGGCCGCCATGTTGGGAGAGGGAAAGAGAACGCAAAGGACCCGGATGAGGCAATCACGTGATTCTAGCGGAGACGCGAAGCTGGGAGGGGGCTGGGAGGTGAGGACGGAGACAGTAGGCGGGGCGGTGCTGCTCTAGGTTCGTAAAGTTGCGCGGCGAGGTGGCACAGTGTCCGACAGGAAGACATGCGCGACATGTGGCCAAAGGGGTGGGGCCTGGGCTGTCGCGAAACCCCGCACGCTTTACGTACGGCTACACGCGGACGCGGGACCGGGGCTAAGCCCCTGCCGGCCTCGTGACGCGCAGACTTCGTGACGCGCAGACTTCCTGCCGGAGGAGGGGCGGAAAGGGCGGGGCTTCGTTGCTGGTTCCGCTTACTCTGCTCTGAGCCCAGGCTTGATGGAGTCGGGATGGGTGTACATAAGTGGATGTTCTGAAAGGGAGGATTCTGAGTTTATTAGTTTTTTTCTTTTGAGACGGAGTTTCGCTTTTGTTGCCCAGGCTGCTGGAGTGCAATGGCGCGACCTCGGCTTACTGCAGCCCCCGCCTCTCGGGTTCGAGAGATTCTCCTGCAGCCTCGGGATCAGCTGGGATTACAGGCACGCACCACCATTACCCACTAGTTTTTTGTATTTTTAGTAGAAATAGAGTTTCACCATGTTGGCCAGGCTGGTCTGGAACTCCTGCCCTCAGACGATCCACCCGCCTCGCCCTCTCGAAGTGCTGGGATTACAGGCGTGAGCCACCACGCCCGGTCTAGTTTTTAAAAGCCACATCAGAAATTACTGAGTTTGTTTTTATTTATTTTTATTTTTTGAGACAGGGTCACGCCTTGTCGCCCAGGCTGGAGTGCAGTGGCGCGATCTCGGCTCACCGCATCCTCAACCTCCGGGGCTCAAGCAGTCCTTCCACCTCACCCTCTTGAGTAAATGGGATCAGGCATTTGTGTGGACACGGAGTGGGGCGGGGTGGGGGTCTCCCTATGTCGCCCAGACTGGTCTCGGACTCCTGGGCTCAAATGTTATCTCCCTCCGTGGCCTGCCAAAGTGCCGGGATTACAGGCAGGAGCCACTGCGTGTGGCCCGAGTTTGTTTTCAAATTACTTTTTGTAAAGGCAAAATAAATCAACATCTGTAAGAATGGTTTTAATGAGACACGTTTAGACAGAATGAGAAGGTAACAAATGGTGAACACTTAATTGCCATAACTTTTACCTCCTTTAATGCTCCAGTTTACTGACTAGGTTTAGTAAAACTCAGGCCTTTAGGATTTCAGAGCCCAGGGCTATCCATGCTTCCCCTAGCTAATGTTCCATTTCATTCATTCAATGAAATTTTGTGTTGCCCACCATGTGCCAGGCACTGCCATAGACATTGTGGGTACAACATGAAATAGAACTGTCCCAAAAGAGGTTATATTCTAGTGGGGGAAGGACAGATAATAAGCAGCTAATAAATAAAATATTACCAACAACGATCATTCTGTGAGTAATTAAAGTGGTGTCATAAAAAGTGATTGGGTGCAGGTCGAGGTGGCTCATGCCTGTAATCCCAGCACTTTGGGAGGCCAAGGCTGGTGGATCACCTGAGGTCGGGGGTTGGAAACCAGCCTGACCAACATGGAGAAACCCCATCTCTACTAAAAATACAAAATTAGCCAGGCATGGTGATGCATGCCTGTAATCCCAGCTACTTGGGAAGCTAAGACAGGAGAACTGCTTGAACCTGAGTGGCGGAGGTTGCAGGTTGCAGTGAGCCAAGATCGATTGCACTCCAGCCTGGGCAAAAAGATCCAAACTCCATCTCAAAAAAAAAAGTGGGTGTAACTTTAGATTGCCTGTCAGAGAAGGTCTCTGAGGAAGTGACGTTCAAATGGAGATGTAAATTACAAGCAGCCAGCCCTGGGAATGTCTTCTGAAGAGGTTTAGGAGAAGACAGGATGTGCAGATGGGATTGCTGCAATGTGATGAGGGCAAGGGAAGAGTGGTACAAGATGAAGCTTGACAGATAGCGCTGGATCTTGTTGAGGCTGCGTAACCAGGTTTGGGACATGTTTGGATTTTATCTCCAGGGGATTGGGAAAGTATGGAATGATTTAAAACAGAGAAATGTCATGACTTGAAATAAAATGTTAAAAAGGATTCCGTAGTATCCAGATGTGAGTACTAGTTACATGGATGTATATCTAGTAAGAATTTATCAGATTGTATACTTAAGATTTGTGTACTTTATGTAAGTCATTCGTTAATTAGAAAAAACAGCCGGGTGCGGTGGCTCAAGCCTGTAATCCCAGCACTTTGGGAGGCTGAGGCGGGTGGATCACGAGGTCAAGAGATCGAGACCATCCTGGTCAACCTGGTGAAACCCCGTCTCTACTAAAAATACAAAAAAAATTAGCTGGCCATGGTGGCACGTGCCTGTAATCCCAGCTACTCAGGAGGCTGAGGCAGGAGAATTGCCTGAACTCAGGAGGCGGAGGTTGTGGTGAGCCGAGATTGCGCCATTGCACTCCAGCCTGGGTAACAAGAGCGAAACTCCGTCTCAAAAAAAAAAAAAAAAGAAAAAACAAAAGAGGTTACTCAGGCTACTGAATGGAGAGTGCAGTTGTCAGAGGCGTTTGAACCAGAGCAACTCCTTGAATAGGGCTTGGTAAAATAACTCTGAGACCTCCTGGGCTGCATTCCCAGAAGGTTGGGCATTCTTACTCACAGGATGAGATAGGAGGTCAACACAAGTTGTAGGTCGCAAAGACCTTGATGATAAAATAGCATGCAGGCTGGGTGCTGTGGATCACGCCTGTAATCCCAGCACTTCAGGAGGCTTCGGGGGTGGGGGTGGGGGATCACCTGAGGTCAGGAGTTCAAGACCAGCCTGGCCAACATGGAGAAACCCGCCTCTACTAAAAATACAAAAATTAGCCTGCCATGGTGGTGGGCGCCTGTAGTACCAGCTATTCAGGAGGCTGAGGCAGGAGAATCGCTTAAACACCAAAGGTGGAGATTTCAGTGAGAGATCATGCCTCTGCACTTCAGCCTGGGCGACAGAATGAGACTCCCTCTCAAAAAAAAAAAAAACAAAACTCCCATCAGGCTGTGACAGTTTACAGATGCCATGACAATGTCAGTAAGTTACCCTATATGGTCTAAAAGTGGGAGGAACCCTCAGTTTTGAGAATCCCCCTTCCCTTTCCAAGAAAACATGAATAATCCACCCCTTGTTTAGCATATAATCAAGAAATAACTATAAGTATTCTTAGTCAAGCAGCCCATGCTGCTGCTCTCTGCCTATGAAGTGGTCATTCTTTTTTGAGACAGAGTCTTGTTCTGTCGCCAGGCACCGGGCTGGAGTGCAGCAGTGCGATCTTGGCTCACTGCAACCTCTGCCTCCCGGGTTCAAGCAATTCTCCTGCCTCAGCCTCCTGAGTAGCTGGGACTACAGGCATGCACCACCATGCCTGGCAAATTTTTGTATTTTCAGTAGATACGGGGTTTCACCATGTTGGCCAGGATGGTCTCGATCTCTTGACCTCGTGATTTGTCTGCCTGGGCCTCCCAAAGTGCTGGGATTTACAGGCATGAGCCACTGCGCCCGGCCAAGTGGCCATTATTTTATTCCTTTTTAATTCTTTTTTTGAGACAGGGTCTCACTCTATTATCCAGACTGGAGTACAGTGGTGAGATCATGGCTCCCTGCCACTGCCACCTCCTGGGCTAAAGCAATCCTTCCACCTTAGCCTCCCAAGAAGCTGGGACCACAGGCACATGTCATCATGCCCAGCTAATTTTTGTAGAGATGGGGTTTCCCCATGTTGCCCAGCCTGGTCTTGAACTTCTGAGCTGAAGTGATCCGCCTTCCCCAGCCACCCAAAGTGCTGGGCTTATGGGTGTGAGCTGCCACACCTGGCGGATTCTTTTATTCCTTTGCTTTCCTAATAAACTTGCTTTCACTTTATGAACTTGCCCAGAATTCTTTCTTGCATGAGGTCCAAGAACCCTCTCTTGGGGTCTGGATCTGGACACCTTTCCGGTAACACAATAATTGAAGAGAAGGTTCAGTTAAAGAGTTGTTGCTTCACTGGGTGCGGAGACCCACGCCTGTCATACTAGCACTTTGGGAGGCCGAGGTGGGTAGATCACCTGAGGTCAGGAGTTCGAGACCAGTCAGGCCAACATGGTGAAAACCTGGCTCTTCTAAAAGTACAGAAATTAGCTGGGCATGGTGGCAAATGCCTGTAATCCCAGCTACTCAGGAGGCTGAGGCAGAAGAATCACTTGAACCCAGGAGGCAGAGGTTGCAGTGAGCTGAGGTCATGCCACTGCACTGCAGCCTGGGTGACAGTGAGACTGGTAGGGCCACATTACTTTTCATGGGCTTAAGCACTTTTGCCTAAATAAGTACAGCTAGTGCTCGTCTTACGACGGCGATTGGTTCTGACAGACCGGTCATAACACAATTTGGTCGTAAGTTGAGTAGGCTATATGTACAGTACTGTGAAATGATGTTATAAAACGTTAAGTCATATTTTAAAATAATTTTCTTTCATTATTGTTATATATCATAATTTCCTTTGTTCATTTTATGCCATTTGTATCATCTCTACACCATTTTGTTTCTTATTTTTACATTCGTCAGGTTTAAGTAAAACACTGCATTACCAGTACAACTGGTTTAATATTTGCAAAACATACAAAATGACAAAATACAGTGCATACAAAAATACAAAATACAGGTGTAAAAAATATCATAGGAAACATTTTCCCAATTGCAAAACATATCAAAATATATAAACATGTACGAAACATTTTATTGGCCACTGGTGCTTGGCTGTGGATCGTTGATGTTGTCATCTGAGGCAGCAGTTGGGGTTACCGGAGTTGGTTTTTTCATAAACATGGTGAGCTTTGTCTGAATTGTATGTTTCTTTTTTTCTTCATAAATTTCAGGATACGGGCAAAACACATCGTGCGCCATCCGTTCAATCCTTGCAAATCGTTCGATGTTTGGGTCCATTGCTTCGAAATGTATAAGAAGTTTATTCAGTAAAGATAAACCGTCTGATAATCCCTTAGTGGTGAACTTTCTTTCTGGCTCCTCCTCTTCTTTCTCTGCTTCTCTTCTTTCCTCTTTCGCCACTCTTTCTTCTTTCAGTTCCATTAGCTCTTCATTTGTAAGTTCATCAACATTGAAAATCTGTTCTGCTAGTTATCCCTCATCTGTAATTAATTCATCCAGACTATCAACAAGCTTACGGGCTCCTTCATCCGCACTCGCTGCTTCTCCAGTCACTCGAACACTATGCATTTGGAATCTTTTCTTGA